TTGCTACCCAGAATTTTTTAAGAAATGCCGGTGTCCAAGTCCTGGAATGGCCGTCGCTTAGCCCCGACCTTAATCCTATTGAACACATCTGGGACGAACTGTGTCGACGTGTTCGTCAGCAAGTGAATCCACCACTGACGTTGCAGGACCTTCAACATGATCTTGCTGAGCAGTCGCGATGTCTTCCTCGGGTAGTGTTTACTAATGTTCTGAGATCCATGAGAAGACGTTGTGTGGCAGTACGAGACGCTAGAGGAGGCCACAGCCTTTACTAAACACTTTATTCCGATTGTTCTCCAAGTCTGTGAATTTCATTTTGGGGGGTACTGTGACATCATGAACGTTATCAATGTCAAGGACTTTCGGCGAGACGTATTCTTGCTTTCTGTTGATGTCAAGGTCATCTGTGCACAACATAACACTAAAATAGTTGCCTTAAACCAAATATTAAAAATCTAGTCCCAAAAAGTGTCAAGTTTTTAATTTGGCTGAGTATATAAAAACATCGAAGCATGTGATGTAAACAATTAACCATGTGGCGTGAATTGGGTCACCGCGTACTGTTCAGTATGAGTGAATTTATGCGACAGTTTTGTGCACTAAACGTTTAACCAGCGGCTGCCAGGCAGGATACGCCCACATTTTCGAGAGATGGATAGAGAACAAGCTAAAAAGAAAGTGATTTTTCCTACAATCAAGGGCCATAATTCAGGAAATTACAATTCGATATGCGCAAATATCGAAAGGAACTGAGATCTTTGTGTTATAAACTTACATTTCAAGTTTCAACAAAATCGGATAAAAATTGTGACCTCTATTGGGTCCACAACCTTGATATACCATATTTTTTACGCTATTTGAGAACGAAGGGCGGCCATTTTGTCTGCCAATTTTGGGCCGATTTTCACGAAATTCGAACTCAGTCGTCATTAGGGTGTAACGGTGATATAATAATACGTTTTTTTTAAATCGGATAAAAATTATGACCTCTTTAGGGTCCACAAGCTAAAAACACGATTTTTCATACAATCTGGGGCAATAATTCAGAAAGTTACGGTCCGATATGCGCAAATATCGAAAGGAACCGAGATCTTTGGGTTATAAACTTACATTTCAAGTTTCAACAAAATCGGATAAAAATTGTGACCTCTATTGGGTCCACAACCTTGATATACCATATTTTTTACGCTATTTGAGAACGAAGGGCGGCCATTTTGTCTGTCAGTTTTGGGCTGAATTTCACGAAATTCGAATTCAGACGTCCTTAGGGTGTAACGGTGATATTATAATACGTTTTTTGTCTGCCAATTTTGGGCCGATTTTCACGAAATTCGAACTCAGTCGTCCTTAGGGTGTAACGGTGACATAATAATACGTTTTTTTTTAAATCAGATAAAAATTATGACCTCTTTAGGGTCCACAAGCTAAAAACACGATTTTTCGTACAATCAGGGGCCATAATTCAGAAAGTTACAGTCCAATATGCGCAAATATCGAAAGGAACCGAGATCTTTGGGTTATAAACTTACATTTCAAGTTTCAACAAAATTGGATAAAAATTGTGACCTCTATTGGGTCCACAACCTTGATATACCATATTTTTTACGCTATTTGAGAACGAAGGGCGGCCATTTTGTCAGTTTTGGGCTGAATTTCACGAAATTCGAACTCAACCTTCCTTAGGGTGTAACGGTGATATTATAATACTGAGATCTTTGGGTTATAAACTTACATTTCAAGTTTCAACAAAATCGAATAAAAATTGTGACCTCTATAGGGTCCACAACCTTGATATACCATATTTTTACGTTATTTGAGAACGAACGGCGGCCATTTTGTCTGTCAGTTTTGGGCCGATTTTCACGAAATTCGAATTCAACCTTCCTTAAGGTGTAACGGTGATATAATAATACGTTTTTTTAAATCGGATAAAAATTGTGACCTCTATAGGGTCCACAAGCTAAAAACGCGATTTTTCGTACAATCAGGGGCCATAATTCAGGAAGTTACAGTCCGATATGCGCGAATATCGAAAGAAGCCGAGATCTTTGGGTTATAAACTTACATTTCAATTTTTAACAAAATCGGATAAAAATTGTGACCTCTATAGGGTCCACAACCTTGACATACCATATTTTTACGCTAGTTGAGAACGAACGGCGGCTATTTTGCTGTCAATTTTGGGCCGATTTCCACGAAATTCGAACTCAACCTTCCTTAGGGTGTAACGGTGATATAATAATACGTTTTTTTAAATCGGATAAAAATTATGACCTCTATAGGGTCCACAAGCTAAAAACGCGATTTTTCGTACAATCAGGGGCCATAATTCAGGAAGTTACGGTCCGATATGCGCGAATATCGAAAGGAACTGAGATCTTTGGGTTATAAACTTACATTTTAAGTTTCAAACAAATCGGATAAAAATTGTGACCTCTATAGGGTCCACAAGCTAAAAACGTGATTTTTCGTACAATCAGGGGCCATAATCCATGAAGTTTCGATCCGATACATGCCAATATCTAAAGCAGCCGAGATCTTTTGGGGATAAACCTATATTTCAAGTTTCGTCAAAATCGGATAAGAATTGTGACCTGTAGAGAGTCACCTGACCTGATGGACGTCCGGACGGACAGGGGCGACGGCATAATGTGGGCGTATAAAAACATAAATTGGTGTTTATTATATTTATATGCTAATAACAGCCCATTTGATCAGATTTTTGGCCGAACGACGACGCATGAACAAAATACAGCAGTAAACCAATGCCAAATTTGCCTTTGTTACAGAGGGGATTATTTATGAATATATATTTAAGATTTATGGAAACCTTGTTCAAAATCGTTGGTCTTCCCCTTTTAGGAAAAATTTGAAATTGTGAAATATTCAAATCCGAAAAATTCGACCCTGATCAAGAGTATTCAGAAATGTATTTATTTTGGAAATAGGAGACGTAGTCTCCAAACTACTGCCTATTGTGTTCATTTTCACTTTTTTTCATATTCAATTCAAAAGGTGACCATCAGTTAACCGAAATCACAATTCTGATCCAATAGATATTTAGGCATTCCTTCGAAAATTCAGAAAATGTAACTCCTATGTCTGTAAGTAAAATATCACAAAAGCCTTAGCATTTTTCACGTTTCAAGATGGTGTCACTTCAAATTTGATCAACAAACTCCATATCATGGGGATGCTCGATTCACAGTCCAGGACGTCCCGAATTGACAGCATTGCAATCGAGTAACGCGGAATTCAGTTCTGTCACAGTTCTGTCAGTCCCGACAATGGAGGTGGTTTGAGTAGAATCGTGACATATTTAAACACAACGAATATGTTTCGGCTGCATGGTTGGTTGAGATATTTACTTATTCAGTCGACGCATGCGTTGTAGCCCGAAATCCACCTGTTCACTCGATTGTCACTATTTATGGGATCGAGAGAATTCAATTCCAGAAACATTCAATTGAGTACCCCTCATGTGTATGCATCAGCAGTGTCTTAGCTAGTACACAAAATAAATTTCAAGGCAATCTGACCTACTCTTTTTTCGATAACACAGGAGCGTAACTGAAATTGTCACCCACAGACTGTTGATTAAAAACAAATTCAGACCGGAACCGGATACACTGGGCAAAACAGGCAATGCACACGTGAACTTAGCAAATCTCGCCCAAGCGAGATTACGCGCCTCATAGAACTATTTCTATGACGCGTCTAATCAATGACGTCACATATTTTTGACGTCAATGAAAATAATTCTCACACTTTTTTGTTCTTTTCTTAAAAACAAAATTAATGTATATACAATTTAGATCTAAATAAAAATCAATTTGGAAAAACTAAATTATTTAACATTTTTTGTATCAATTGAGAAAATTAATTATGAAGGTTTTATATTTGACAATAATCCGCTTCGCACTATTCAGGCAATGCCTATTACATAATATGTAACAGGCATTGCCTGAGTAGAGCAAAGCTGATGTGATTGTTGTTAAATATAAACCTTCATAATTAAGTTTCTCAAGTGACACAAGTGACGTTTATAATTGGCCTATTTCTAATATAGAGTGAAGCTCTAAAACATCACACGAAGTGCGGTGCTTGAGCAAAGCTCTTTTCCTGTAACACAGGGGCGTAATTAAATCTGCCACCACAGACTGTTGATTAAAAAAAAATTCAGACTGGAACCGGATACATTGGGCAAAAATGGCAATGCGCATGCCAACTTACCAAAACTCGCCCAAGTGAGATTACGCCACCCATAGAAATATTTTTGACACGTTTAATCAATGACGTCACATATTTTTGACGTCAATGAAAATCATTCTCAAACTTTTTTGTTCTTTTTTTTTTTTTATATAACAAAATAATCATACAATTTAGATCTAAATTAAATTCAATTCGGAAAAACGAAATTTTTTAACATTACTTGTGTGACAGTTGTGTCACTTAATTATGAAGGTTTATATTTAACAACAATCACATCAGTTTCGCTCTACTCAGGCAATGCCTGTTACATATTAAATTCAAGGTACTTTTAAAAAAAAAAAATAGTAAAATCGGTGAACTAGCCTAGTCAGAAAGTTACAGCTATGTAGGTCAAGTGTTTTCATTCGTAAAATTTAGTAAAATTCGGTGATTTCGGATTCGAAAATATATTCATTCCAAAGCCACCACCCAATCTTTGGGGGGTAGGTCAAAGTTCCAGAAAGATCCTATGGTTAGATTCTGAGATGTTAGCTTGGCAGGAAAAACACAATAATAATAATATTAACAAAAACAATAAGCTTTCATAAAACATATGAAATATTGAATCTATTACTTTTTATTAGTATTATTATTATAGATCATCTAGCCTTTGTTTGTAATTGTTGTCGACGTTTTAATTTATAAACAAAAACGTGTTCAACAAATAACTTAACTGTATCAACCTAGTAGTGGTGATAAACAAATCATACTTTCGCAAATGTTGGATTTCAAGGGCGTAAAGGAATTACCTAATATTGCATTATTCTCCTCAGTAACGGCGTAAACATTTTTAATCGATTGATGAGGACGCCATTTTGAAAGAATGTGTAGACGCGAATTTCCAGTAGCAAAAAATATTTCAAAACGAATGAATAACCAGTTTAAACAAAAGCGGAAAAATGTTTACCAACCACATAACTGAAAAATACTAGACATGTATGTTAATCAATTCAAACAGAAAAATATATATTTCTTTGTTTCAAAGAACAATTGGTACAACTGTTGGTTGGGTAGTTAATTCTAAACGATTTCGTTCCGTTTTCGTTGGAACAAATTTTCAGAACTCTCTAGCGGAAGAAGGTATTATTGGTGGATATTTCCGGTGAGTGTGTTTTTAGTCAGGTTTCTTTTTCTGATAATTTTATTGAGATTTTCTCTTATCTAAGTATGTTCAGATATTTATTTATCATTAATTAATGTGTAGTTTAGGATTATATTTCTTTCCAAGGCTGGTTTACATTTACAGATCATGTGACTATACAACTTTGTTGGCGAGGAAAGGGTTTTTGTCGTATGACTATGACTTGAATTCAATTTTTTTTATTGGGAGAAATCCAAGACCAAGTTATCCTCAAATGATCTGCTGTATCCAAAAATATATTAAAAGCCTGGAAGAGTCAGATTTATGGGTGTACTAAGATATTTTGGACTAAGAAATAGAGGCTCAAACATATTTCAAGTTTAGCAAGTGAAGTGTGTGTTTCATAATTCACCAGGGTGCCAATTAAGTCGTCCACTCGTCCACAAGCAAAGTCGTCCACATGACACTGACCACAGTTTAAGGGATGTCGGCTGTTTCGTAACCTGGCTGTTTCGTACTCAGTTCATTCGTACCTCACATGAGCTGTTTCGTACCTCGGTTAATTTCAAAAGAACATGAGCTGTTTCGTAACTTCGCTAATTTCAACTTTTACATGCACTTAAGCTTAACCCTCCTCCTTTTGCACCCAGGCTTGGGACCGGCGTTGGCGGAGTTAAAGTTGTTTTTTTCTGTCACTACAGCTAGCGTAATTAAAATTTTGCTTTTATTTTCTTCTGTTCTATTGTGTGGCAGTTGGTCCATATACAAATGCACACCTCCTTAGCAGGGTACTGGCCGAAATTTGATTCTGGGTGTATTCCTCCCACAGGGAAAAAATCCGACCCTGTGTAAAACGGGTGCGAACTCGTTGGTATCGCTTCAATTTTGTCAATAATCAAAACTCATTTTCAATAATCACAACTCCCCCAGCTGTATGGGCTCTATAATCAATACCAGATTAAATATTTTTCAATCGCTTTTTAAGCGTCAATCAATTATCGTCAAGAATCACAACTCACTCGGCGGATTAAAAACGCCAATCAATTATCGTCAAGAATCACAACTCAATGGACAGATTAAAAACAACAAAAGACAGGTAGCAGTGTCAATCGTTTATTTTCCTATATGTTTATTTCAACTTATTTTTAAGAGGTTCAGCAGCCATTTTTATAAATTGCGCGTAGCTAGCAGTCTTTGTTTTTTAAACAGTTCACGCGTAGTCGTTGGATATTATTACGAATCAATTTGAGGTGTGATTGGATATTATTAAATCGTCATGTTTCATCTTTATTTCAACAACATTTAAGAAAAGGTACGAATCAATCTAAGGTACGAACCGAGGTGCGAATGAACTAAGTACGAAACAACCAGGTTACGAAACAGCCTGCACCCAGTTTAAGTTGTCCTCAGCCACTGGTTAACCCTTAACCGGTCTTTTTCGACTATAGTCACCATAACGTTCTACAGCTAAGTGGTCATGGTGGACCGCTGTCGACCATAGTAAGAACCTTTTTTATAAGCCGCATTTGAGTATTTAGTTTCGTATTTAATTGTTATCATTTATGACCATGTCAAAGGCATTGAAAAAAAAACATGCCTTTGTTCAATATTTCCTGACAAAAAATTAAATTTTTCGATTTCAAGAAGGTTAAAGACTAGATAACAAATCTCATCTCTCAACCCTCCGTGTTTCGAGATAAGAGTTTGTGCTATTAACTTCCACGTAGCACATGCGGGAGCGATTCGCACCCGGCATTTGTAAACAAAATTGACAATATTTTTAATCAAAACAACGATTGATTATTGTTATTTATAATATTTCTGCCACACGAAACTACAATTAAGCATATAATCCTACCTGAAACGGGTACAAACCATCGTTTTTAAAATGGAGGCGTTAAGCCGTTACTGAGACCGCCATCTTTTTAAACGATACGCTGTCATCATGAAGGCGGGGTTAAATATAAGGCTTTTATAACAGCCAATCAAAGGGGCAATCTAAAGCACTGTAACTATGAATGGATTTCGATGCAGGGAAAAGTCAGAAAAAAACAACGCTTCATTAATTTAAACGCAAATATTTGGAGTTAGGCGATAGTTGTGCCACTACATTGGCCTCTGTAAGTTTAATTAATCATAATAGCATAAACTTATCTTATTTTAAAGATGTTAAATGCATTAATAAAGAAATTGAGTTTGCCACTTGGAACTAAAGGCATCCAATTGTAGCTAAAAACAAACACATCAGTATGTCTCAATGTTTTTAGCTACATTCTCGTAGCTAGTTAAAGACTGGCAAAGTGATTGAAATGCTTATAAATGATTCGGACTCGGATTATATTGATGAAACTGATTCTGAAGATGATATTTCCAATAAAAATGATTTAGAAAACGAGAGACAACGTCATAATGTCAAAATGACGTAGACCGGTTTAAGGGTTAAGTTGTCCAGTGCAACTATTGGTGATGTCGTCCACAACTAATACTTGACTCGTACACAACTAATAGTTAAGTCGTCCATAACCAATACATGACTCGTACACACTTTAATTGAGTGGAAGAAATGGCCTGTACTCATTGACTGTTTTGGTTGTTTGATTTTAGATCAAATCACCAATGTTTTTGTATTGTTTGTAAATTGGCGTTATGATTTTAGCATTTTTTGGGGGGATTGTTTGATTAGTATTAACACAATGTTTTTGTAATAAAGTATATTCGTATTGTTTGTTATTTGGCATTATGATTTACTTTGTTGCTTATTCATGAATGCACCTGCTCTAGCTTAGCGGTAGTCTGCCAGTTGACGTATAGTAAATAATACTCATATCCAAAACATTATGAAAACCAGGTGGAAATGATGATAAAGCACCACTCAGCACAAAAAATATACTAATTAAGAATACTTTCTGTATCTAGAAAGTAAACTATGACTTAACCAACGTATTTCTACAACCCGAAATTAAACTAAGTCGTGTGGACGACTTAACCAGATTTTTCGGGTGAATGACTTTGCTTGTGGACGACTTGACTGGCATTCATTCACCATTCCAATGAATATGACCGATTAAGATTTTGCAGCAGTAACAATATTGAATATAATTTGTGTATTACCTACTACTAGTACTAGACGTAAATAGTATTTTTATAAATAAATAAATATTTTTTATATGTTACAGATTTATCCTTTAGTTACATTATGGAAAACAAAGACAGTTCTACTGCTATCTCATCCCTACTGTCTCAATATGGTGATGCATCAGATGAAGAAATTATTAATGAAGCACCCGGTTCTGCTGTTGACAACATATCAGATGAGGAATCTGAAAACAAAAGGGAAGGAAACCAACTCACAAAAACAGAACCAATGATAACTGATGAAAATTCACCAAGTAGTCTTAAAATAATGGATTATTCTGATACTCCTACCAAACCAAAATTAGTTAAGAAAGGTACAAAAGAACGATATTTTGATTACACATGCATTCTAAAATTGAGATTACAGGATATAGAGCTGGGAGTAGATGATACATCTCTGATTGTTGTTCTTAAATCCACCTTACTTAGGGAAAGTGTTTAGGTCCTCATCATATAGTCCTTTATTATTGCATTTATTTTACAATTACACCTGTTGCCATTTGATTCCGTTTCATTTGTAAATCATTTACTTGATAATTTTACTTGTATGTGTTTCAAAACATGGTATTTCAATAAATCTGGATATCAATATATCCTGTGTGGTTTTTTATTTAGTGTTTTGTTTTACAGCTACTAAATTAGTGTCATATGGACCTGATGACCATGAGGAAGATAAAAGTTCATCTGAAGAAGAAGTAGAAGAAGAGGAGGAGGACGAATTTGAAATAAAGGCACTAGATAGATCTAAGGTTAGTTCAGTAGACAAAAATAGAGTAGAGACCTGATAATTATAATATCATATGCCATATGGCTAAATGCAGACATTTATGCCCACTGGGACCTGACAGATTTATATATATATACATATATATATGATGATCCCCGTAGTGGGTGGAAGCGCTAGCTAAGATGAAATTAGTTTTTTCTTTCTAAAAGTCTCATATTTCTATATACTGATTTGTTTCAATCACTTCCTTTGGTGACAGATTAATGGTTACGTCCAAAAAGTTTACTGATGTTGGGTTGGACACTAATATCAAATTCACTATAGAGTTTAGTCCAACATCATTAAACTTTTTGGACGTAGCCAAAAGGAGTGATTGAAACGGATCTGTATTACAAACAGATACCACCCACCAGTATCTAAATTTTCACTCTTGTCATCCTTCTCATATCAAATGGAGCATTCCATATAATTTAGCTAGGAGAGTATGTACCATTGTTTCAAACCTGGTTGTCAAAGTTAAGCGACTAGAGGAATTAAAAACATTCTTATTGAAACAAGAATATCCTCTAGGTTTCGTAGAAGATGCAGCGATTCGGGCCTTAAGTTTAGATCAGACAAAATAAGGATGCAAGAATGCAAAAATCTAAATGTTGGTTAGTGAATGTGGAGAAATAAATTGTAAGAACTGTAAAATAATAATTAAGGGCTCTTTAATCCAGACAACATTTTTAAATATTAAACATACATTATGAAAGAGCTAAATCTGTCTATTGCAGGTCTTTCTTTAGGCCTGAAATGTTATCTAAATTACTAATTAGACATTAATTAACCTATCCAGACCATAATCAACTCTAGATGGTTATGCTAGCCTGCAATCTTTACTGGATTATGACGATTTAACGATTAAATGGATAATCAAGACTATGCTGTTTATCATACTGACTTTAGTAATGATGATCGAGGCTAGGTGGAAATTTCAACTGCTTAGTTCTCGGTTCATAGTGGATCAATTTGAATGATGTTTTCAGCAAATTGCCTTTACATTATCTAGATGACCTGGCGCCTGGTACGTTCGGGCATTTTTATGCGCGAACTCTTAGTTTTTTTTTACTGGCATGCGCACAGGTACTATTTCTTTTTCTTTTAACAAGTACCCAAATCGGGGATTTCGTGCGGAGGTAGTTCGGAGGTAAACAGTCTGTGAAGTACAACACTTGCCACTGTACCTGTGTATCGCTAATTATAAACCGAATGTGTGAAGACAGTTCATACATATCACTCAAAATTTTTCAGTACAAACTCAGTTGATTCACGCTTGATTTGCTACTAAACAAACCCATCGGTTTATTTTCTCAACAGTGTGACCCGAAGTGACCGCGGATTTATTGACCTTGTATGAACTTATCCATAGCTATATCCTTACACCGAGAGAAATTATCTAGTCTCGGTGAAAAGAACCATGGTCATCTGGTAGAAAATTACTTTTGTATTTTTTGGAACGGAAAACAGTGTTTTTAGAAGCAAACTAACCTGCCGCACATGAGGAAGTCATTATACTAATAATAAAAGGCGAGACCTCTTTTTGCGGCGCAGGCTTATCACTGAGTAGTAAACCGTCCACAAACAATAATATAGGAAGCCTAGTGACGAGTGTAGTAAGTAGGCTATAGACTATAGGTTTGAGTCGAGATTACTCGCTTTCAGTTTACTCTGTTTTCGCGATAGGCAATTATGTGAGAAATACCATACTGACATTCGGTTTTTAAAAGTTGTACGCGAACTAAATGCGTTTGTTAGATACTGACAGAGCAGCCCCGAGTCGAACCATCGCCGCTCGAGCTGTCTTCGTCAGCTAGTTTCACAATATCGTGCAATAGGTGTATTAATGTGATTTTTAGGTTTAACCCCGCACACAATGCCAAAATAGTGTTTTCACTGCTTACAGAAAACTGAAATTTAAAAAAAAAATTTTTATGAGGGTGACCCTCCCACACACTCCCTATCGAGCTGCCGCTCGGTCTGCGCAGCCTCATGCCTGGCACATACTGTCAACATTGTATATTTTTCCGTTTCCGCCCTTCCCCCCCACAATATATATTTCACGGCTACGTTGCGACGGTACCAGCATACCCAGTTGTTGACACCCATTACATCACTCCTGTCTAACAAATCATAAAGCTGTGGTGTTATGGTGGCGGCATAGTATTTCACCGTAACACCACAGCCACTCTAACCATTCATAATACATCTAACTATCCCTTTACAGCACTTCACTCCCTACACATTTCCCCTCGTCCTACTTTCCCAAACGTCAACAACACATCTCATACATCCAGTTCGCTGATTAACCCTTGTACCACGTCTACTGGTTTTTAACTATTATAGTGAGAACTGCCAACTCGTTATCGAATCTCCCATAATGTATCTTTAAGCAACCCATGAACTGTAAAATCAGTTATGTCATATATGTGATTGTCTGTTTTGGCTGTAATAGATGGTACATTGGAAAAACTATAAGTATGCTAAAGACAAAGATGAACCTTGTCTCTATCGACAAGATATATAGGATGATCCCACTTAGTGGACATATAGATGTTTGTGACAGTTGCAAATTTAGCATTTTTCCAATGTACAAGTTAAATAACAATGATAATGATTTGTTAGAAGCCAAAGAGGAATATTTTGTTGACAAATATTGGCCAGCTTTAAATGCAGAATTGTATTAGTTTCACTGCATATAGGCCAAGTTATTGTTGTCTGATTTGATATTCAATTTATATCCCTTCTTTGTACTACTGTGTTACTATGACGCTATGACGTTAGTCATTGTTATATTATCTAAATGTTGTTTAGCTGAAGAGCTTGATAAAATAATTCCTGGCTATTTTCTTGGCTTGTAAAATTGTTTTGTTCATTTTCTATATTGTTGTTTTGAATTTTAATGTTTTAATTAAAATAGTATATTCAATAATGATTTCTATTTCAGGGAGGTAGTTGTTTAGAAACAGAAGTTGCATGTAAGTATCCAGTAAACAGTAAAACAAGAAATTAATGTGTCATGAAGTTAATGTGACTTGAAGGTGGTTTACATATTGAAATGCTTGTGACACACCGTGAACAAAAAAGTAATACACTTCTTTAACTATCAGTTGATTATACTATTGTTATGTTATTAACAACTAATTTATGAATGATGACATGAATAATTAAGAGCAATAAGTTGACAAGTTTAATTAGCTATAATTTTGTCTCTGCTTGATTGCATCCTCATTTGCACAATAATTTCTTTTTCGACATTATTTGAAGAAGAAGAATTATCGTTTATAAGTATTAGGTGAAAATATTTCTGTTTATACTAAATCAATAGTGAAAATCCATATTAATAAATTTGGAATTTGTACTGACTATTTTTTTTATCTTCTTTGTTTTTTTCTAAAGCATCTTTGTCAAGAAGTGTTTTGTACATGCCAGCTGAAGATATTAAGCTACCACCAGAACCTCCTGGGAAATGCACTAAAACTCTACAGGTAAACTTTGGAGTAACATGATTTTCTGTCTCAAACTAGATTGTTTATAACACTTTTAGTAGTTTACAGGCAGATAAATACCAAAACTCAGTTTTCATTGTTGAAGGCATTACAAAGTCACAATCATCAGGAAAAAAAGTCATGACCCTTACAGATATATCAGTAGGAAAATGAAGAAAGAACCTGGGAACATTTTAAAACTAGCTGTCTGCATATATTCGGTGATCTAGTTATTTCAATTGTTGAGACGCAAAATATATGCTCAATATTCTGTTACAAGCTTAAGGTTCACCTACATCACCAAATGTCCCTTGTTAGCCCAAAAATCTTTGGCGGGGATTCTTTGTTTGAATATGCATTTTCATGGAAGACTATTGAACCGATTTACTTTCTTTAGATTTTAATATTCATTAGAAGTTTAGGGTAACACATATTTAGCAGAATAAACAATGAAATCAACATTCATGTGTCACATTTTTTTTAAAAAGTTACAATAAGTGGATTATGTGCTAGAGGAAGCATATACTATTATTTGTTTGCTCGTAAACCAAAATGCAGGGCAGAGAGGTTCAGTGGAACTCTATTTGATATATATTTATAGGATAAGATATCAAGTCTGTATGAAAAAATGAGAAGAGATGGGTTGAATCTCAATGCTACAATACAGAGAAGAAAAGATTTTAGAAATCCTAGGTGAATACAATTAAGTATCCTCAGATAAACTCAATTATAATTTTAAACAATATTTTTGCTATAGAATTTTTATATTTCATTTTAAATGTTCAATCTCATGTAAGGATGAATTGTTTACAAATCTGATTTTTCTGTTTCAGTATATATGAAAAATTAATAGATTTTTGTGGAATAGATTCACATGGTTCTAATTTCCCTGCTGTGAGTTTTACTTGCTTTACTTTGTAAACAGTTGACCTTTTATATTATTAAATGGCTGGTTTGGGGAATGAGCTACAGAAATATTTTGCTATAGAATTTAAATTTTTAATAGCCAAGAAAACTGTGAAATACTGTACATATAAATTTCAATAAGCATGGACGCCTTAGACATATATGTAGACTAAAAGGATCTTGATTTTATCTACTGAGCTGGTGGCAGGGTTTAACACAGGCCTAGTCTGTTCCCCAATCCAATTTCAAATCCAATATAATATATTGATTAAAAAATAAATCTGCTGTGCTCTGTCTCTCCCTTAAATTTAACAAAAATAAGATAAGAGCCGTAAACAATTCTGTAGATAGTAATATAGACAGTTAAAGCAGCAGTTTGTTGGTAGAAATGAGTTCGTGTTCAGATGTTGACAAATATAAATAAATATTTAGAAAGCAGTGTTAGCTTTTAGATTCACTGATTTTAATAATTTTCCTAATAAAGTAAAGTATTGGCAAGAGGTAATTTGTAACATACATAAACACCATTCTTTACACAGTGTATTGTATCTTTTTAAATTCGTTCTTTTTTCTTTTCTGCAGGAAATATATAATCCTTATTTGTGGTCAAAAGAATCTTATTATGATGAGTTAGGTAAGTTATTTTTGTTATGGATAAGGCATGTATCCTGTGTTAGCACTAGCTTCTAAAATTCTTTAGCTACTGTGGCTAATGCATGAAAAAAGTATTAGCCAAATACAATTTTCATTAGCCACTGAACTAAAAAAAAAAGTTAAGAAATTTTGTAACCTATTAATTGTTATAAAAAAAAAATATCTGTTGAACCACAGGAAACCATGGTGATACAGGTCTAAATTATAAGTATTATAGCTTTTAAGTTAACCTTTGCATCGCATTGCATCACTATCCTGTCTATTTTATTATTTCATCACATCAAACTCTTTTGTTTCTTTGTTTATAGAGTAATGAGGTTAATAAATACTGTAAAACAATTAATTTGCCAATCAGCTAAGGCTATATCTCATGCTTGGCAGAAATTTAAAGAGGTTAACTTTCCATGATGTATTACAAATGACAAGCGCTATATGAAGAATGGGGAAAGTAACAGAAACACTTAGGCCTGTTCGGCGAAGTGGCAAATTATTTTCTTTAAACTGACGTTTGCATGTACAATAGGTCTTTTGTTGATTTCAAATAGTGGACTCTTTTCTTACTTGAGAATTGTCGCTATTCACCCCATTCTTACTTCTCCGACCCATTATGATAATATAATCTGAAATAATAATATCCAATTAGGCATCCTTGTATTTCTGAAAAGAATTGTCTGCAATTTTGATTATTTCCATTTATTTTTTAAGACGAAACAAAACATCAAATAATCACTGCTTGGATTAATTATTTGGAGTAAATAATGACTTGAGATAAGCTGCATATATATCATTGGCAATATACTAATTATTAAACAACAGATTAGTATTACTCATAGACATGATCCAGATTATCAACAAATTTGTTAATTTATAGCATGCCACCACATGATAGTGATTAACACTCAACATAAAGGGCAGTCTAGGATAAATACCATTAGAATTTTATGATTTTTTTCCACCAGTGTGAGCCCTGAATCTATGTACAAGAAATAAAAAACAAATTTTGATTTCAGATAAAGTGCAGAAAAAGGAAATGGAAAAAAGAGAAAAAGATAGAAAAGACAAAACTAAGGTTTCTTCAAAGGTTTCTTATGTTGTATATTGCCACTCCTCCCTGTCTGTCCATATGTCGTTCACATTTCTTTTTAGCATTCATATATCTTTTGGAAATTGATATGGGTTGTCTATTGACATTCAACAGTTTTGCTATGAAATCGTTTTAGAATCTTAAAGGCTGAAATGTAATTATTATATGTTTCTCTGAAAATTATATTGGTTGACGACTATCCTATTGAAAAGAAGAACCTGAGGGAATCAAAGGGAAATATGTTTAGGTGCCGAGAAACCTGTGTTTTTATTTATTTATCAATAGTATCACTGCTTCGTTTGAATGACAGCACTATAATTAATTTCCTGCCATATAGAAAATAATTATACAAATGACTTGTCTTGTATATTGCAACTTAAAAGCAATTTTAGTTATCTCCCTGAACATCAAAAATCTCAAATTGTACTACACACAACCAAATGAAATGGACAGTGACGCTACGGTCTACTCTTATTATAATATTCCAGCTGTCAAGGGTTCTTTTAAGTGCATTCCAATTTAAACAGAACTGAATGATTAGACATTGTCCTTGTCAGGCCTCCATCCTGCACCACACAAGGGTCAACCACACATAAAAATCCTGAAGAACATTATGCGGCAACGCCTTGTGTAAACCAAGACCTAATTAGCAATGCGGCTTCTCACCCACTGAGACCCCACAGCTCAACAAAGCCTAATAGGGGCATGGCTGATCATTTGACATTCATATGAAGCATATTCCAAAAGGAATTATATGATTAATAATGGGATGTTTTTACAGTTTGATTTTCACTAAATTACTTATTATTTCAGGTGGAATTTGTTACAGGAACAAAAAAAACATCAGGTTCAGTTGATTCTTCAGGTAAATGAAATAAAAAAACTTCAGACCATAGAAAAAAAATATTTTGGTTCTCAGATAATCCAGCATCAAAAAATAAAACTCAACCTCATTATTTATCGCATACAGGAAGTAACTTTTTCTAATGAATCCACAGACTCATTTATCAAGTATAAATGTTAATGACAATTATAGATGATACTGGATAATCATATAATCCCATAAACAGATAAATATAGTGCCTTGAAATGTGATTTATCCAAGTGGTAATCCTTTGACAAAATATAAATAAAATCCTGCCTTACGCATCAGATTTATTTTGCTAAGGATTGTTGGAGAACCAGAATGGTTTTTTTTGAATGACCTTAAATGCATACATATTAATGAAAATCTGCCCTGGAATAATTTTTTAGAATTCTTTTAGCATTACTTATAAACTGTACAATGTTCAATCGCAATTTACAAAGACAAGTGTTGCAGAACAAACTCTGAACACCGCATAGTTTTAATAGTCATACACCTATCTTTGGTTTTACAGCTTACAAATTGATGGGTCCCAGCCTATAAAAACCTTGGGATATCAAGCGTAGACTTGAGTTATAATAGCCATACTTAGGGAGCCACAGTTATCATTGTCTCTTTATGAAATTTTAAAAGTTTATCAGCTTCGTAAAAGGAAAACCTCTATCAATTTTCAACTCAAACTTGAGTGTAAGACCTTTCTTTATAAAATTTTGTTTACATTCTGGAGTCTGCTATTTTCATTGGGTCTTTGTAATAAGATTGTTCCACTTCTTACAAAGAAATGCCAATGTATTTTTTTCTTTTTTTTAACACAGATTGGATTTTTTCAAATTCAACAGCTGTACAGTTATTAATTTACATATACGATTGCACTTGTTTTACTAAATATAGGAACATTGTGTTGAAAATATGATTGTATGTCAGACATAAAACCTACTGGTGATCACATGCCATTGTTCTTACTTTCCTGTTTTTTTGTTCCTTTTTACTCTATGGCATATTGATCAAAAAATAATATTGGGATATTCTTGAAAATAGCTAGTCTAAGCCATTCTAAAAAATGAAGTATTTTTTTTCTGTATGAACAAACTATTTAATTTATGGTTATTAAAAATACATTCCTACAAAAGTACTTATCGTGTGGTTATTTCCAATAAAAGTATGACAATAGTGGTATATATAGAAAGTAGAGACACCCAATCTTACTAGAAAAATACTGTATTCCCTGAAAAACATCTATGGTGCGTGCACAAGACAAAAACGAGAGGGTGTCACTAATTGTCAGCCTGATGATTTAGGGCTGTCTGCTCAAGTGCACGCGTAGATTGTCTTACCTCTTTTCATTAGGGAGCGCCTAATGTATATGTTGATAAAGATTATAGTGAGCGGATGTGGGAAAAGTGAGAGACTTACAAACATACAACAGATTCTGAAACTATACTGCGGAAAAAGAAGTGGGCCTGGGATAATTCAAGAATTTACTTAGGCTTCGATATTTATGACAAATGGACAGCGATTAAAGACTTATATGCAATGAATTCTCCTTCAGCTAGGCATCCTCCGTGACCCCAAGTCATGTGACACAAACATGGCTCCTTTAAATAGATTTGAGAGACATTTGAAGCAAATTAAGATAGATTAATTAATTTGAATACATATTTAGTCAAAATATATCATCAAATCACACAATTTGTACATGGGAAGGCATCTTTTAAGGTTTACCCATGTTAGAAATCCCCTTGTTTGAGTAAAAAGGCAATATATATGTCATGCACAATTAATTGTTCCTATGCATAAAAAAGTTTTTTCTTTAAAAATTTGGACACATCACTAACTGGGAATACCATAATGGAAGCTAAGGTAGATTATTCCGTGCCATATGCCTAATCCCCCTTGAATTCCATCTGCCAAATGTTCTTTTACATTTAATTTAATTTAAACATATTTTATTGTTCAATAAACAACTGGATAAGACATAAGTTTTACAACTTATAAAAGTCTTCTGAAATACATATATACATATTACATAAATGAACTTAGATAATATTAAATAAGTTTTATATGGAATAAGACATGAAGAACACAAAAAAATAAAATAAACTAGTTCAAAAGATCTTGATCAATACAAACCACTTCTTGTATAATTAATTCATATTGTAAATATTTACTGACATGAACGTTTGAGCTGATATACATATATGATCACATTCTAGAAAAGCGACAAGTGTCTTTAATGTATTTTTGTACGGCTATAAATATAGAACAATTTACGTCATAGTTAAGTTTTTCATTCCCAAATAATAATTACCTTCATTTTCCATCCCATCTGAAACACTAGATGCAGTCCTGCAACACTGATATTGGAAGACCACACCTGGATCATATCTGGGACATTTTGGCCAGTGACCCAGTGTGTTATTCACTGAGCCACTGTGGCTCAATATCTTTACTGGTATCGGCTTAATGAATGATATATCTATTATGAATAAAAATTTAGTATACGGCTTCAATATAAATCTCCTATATTTATGTTGCCCAGACTCAAGCAACCAAAATGTTCAGAGTTCTTTTTTATTGCAAAACAGGGTTGTCAAAATCTATGAAAGTTGCCCTCCCCCCCCCCCCCCCCAACATCTTTCATTAAACATGATTTGTGTCATGTTGTGTTTGAACTTAATCGAATATACAAGTAAACATATTATTTTTCAATTGAGAACTGTATTTAACCAAAGGTGACTTCAAACATATAGGTATGATTTCATAACCACAACTAAAAAATTTATTCATCTGAACAAAAATAGTTTATTTTTTAGCATGGCTCAGACAGTACATATGCATTCTGTTCATTAGCAGATCTGTAAAGAAACGTCCTCTTTCTCTTTACAGATGATAAGAAACGAAAAACCAAGTGGGATACTGCACCATCAGCATCATCAACATTAACTAGTTCAGTGACAGGCACAAAATCGACAGTTATACCCGCTGTGGGCAATATATCAAAGAAATCGAAATAACACAGTACTATATCATTAGTTTTATAAATCTAAACAGTGGTTACATCTTACAGTGTCTTTAAACTATAAACAAAGAGCATTATCCGGCCAGTGTATTCCATTCAAGAATGTAGTGTGTTATAAGACTGTTGTCTTAATGGTTTCACTGATAAACAAATTCTATTGTTGAAATGAAAATAACTGTGATCATTCATATAGAAGTCTATAGAATATAAACTGGATGAGAAAATGAAGATGATTTTGAAGTCATATTCATGGAATGTTTTAGAGATATTACTATCTGGATTGAGAATATATGTAAATCTAGTTCAAAACAATTAACACAGTTATAAGATTATTCTGATCTCAAAAACTTACTGACTTGATGATCAATAAAAAAAAACTAGTATGGATTGACAACCCTATCACAACAGGAATTCAAAAGTGTGTGTAGTTTGAATTAGTAAAATTCTATCATTTGTATATATTCTTGTACATTACATGTAATATCATTATCAACCAAATAAAAACTAATTTGTATTAAAAAAAAAGAATAATGTTAAGTCAAATGAGTTCTCTTTTTTTTTTTGGCAAAAATTATATTTAATAGTACAATATTAGTGGGCCCTTGTTTAAAGAACTTTAAACCTATAGTACATAAAAATTTAGCTGTAATCGATTGGTAAATGACAAATTGTGAAAATTTTAGATCTTGAAATTACTTAGTGGTTAAGATATCACTTTTTTAATAAGAAAATAAGACAAATTGAATGTTTGGCTTTGATATATTAAGGCAATTGAACAAATGAAGTTCCCGAGTTAAGAAGAGATCGGGCAAGAAATTTAACAATTATTTACAATTTGACTAGTTGTATCAAGGATTGCAAAGAGAGAATTTTATTTCAATAATTTGCTTGTGCATTGGGGTTTTTAGCAGTGGGAGTACATGGAGAAAACCCATGAGGCAGGACAGACGACCAAGCTAGGAATCACACTACGCCACTTGACTCAATGACAGATCTTATGATCTAAAGTGAATGCGATTGACCATTTCGGCCACCCAAACCAAGGAGAGGAGAATATTAACAGGACATTGAATATTATAGAATTTCAGCTTTTCTGGAGATCTTTTAAATACCAGTACTGGTATGTATCTATCTTGGTTATACTTGTATGCACATACATGTACCTTATAATATCTGGTGCAATTAACCATTCAAACCTATAAAAGGTGTGTTTTTGATCATGGGGTTATATATGCTATCTTATATATGCTCACTAAATTTCAAAACCCTTTATTTTCAAAATGTGTAAGGATCTTCAATATGGCTTAGGGAATAAGGCACTGGCTCACATGTAAGTGTACCTGGGTTCGATCCTTGTGTTAGTTGAGAACAGAGGGCCTGGCAAGGACGTCTGGTCATACAGATGGGACTAAAAACCAAGGTCTGTGTACACAGCGTTTGCATAAAAGTTGGAATTTGATATAAGAGTAGGACGTAGTACCACTGTCCAGGCAAAATTTCGGTCATAGCACACTGTATGGCGTACACCCGTAGTTCATTAGCCAGGTCTGTGCAGAATTTCAACTTTGTTTATTTTATTGTTACCTGTAGTTAATTCATCTTTGATCCTCGATTTGGATTTCTTCCATTTGAAATTGCCTATATAATTTTGGCTGTTGATATTCATTGAACATGTATATTTAATTTGTTTAAGTAATTCAAAATCATAAAATAATAAGGGAAGGGAGATAATCTCATGTTTTTCACAATTGGAGGGGAGAAAGTTGAAAGGGGTCAGGTGACGTTCAAAATGGCGGCGGCAATACAAACAATTAACCAGTTTTTAGTTTCTGGTCAATATCATTCAATCTTGGCACTAATTAAAGGTTTACGAAATGGAATTGTGTAAGTACCAATAGCATACATGTAGTTTGCATCTAATTTAAGTTTCTTTTTGATCCAGACAATATTTATAGCCTCTGCACTATGGACTCTATATGACTAGAAACATCAAACATGGACTTTGTGAACTTTGTCATGGGGCAGTACTTCTGTCGCATGGCAAAACCTGGACTACCTGAAACAGCATTATAGGACTGCATATACTAGTTCATTGGAGCAACATATTAGTTATTCTCTTTGGCTCCAGCAGTTAAGTTTGGAGTGCTCTAAAAGGAGTACCAGTTTCAGGTGGTCCAAGTGCTAAAGGCTTAATAACTTTTAAGTCATACGCATTGATTTTTCAAGTAATTGGTGCCATATATTGCTTGTTTCAAAATCAAATATATTTTGTTTATGAATATGATCTCGGCAGTTAGGTAATTGGACAAATAAAATAATTCCAGGTACCACTTGTTTGAGACGGCGAAGAAGATAAATTAACGACAGACTTGACCTATTCAAAATGGCTACGCATGTTAAATGAAATAAAAATTAATGTAATAAAATTTTGAATGTACAGAAAGGTTTATCATTTTTAAAGGGAATAACATTCTGGTGATTCGAAGCTACATTAGGCCGTGTTGAATTGATTCCTTGTTTCTCCTCGCCCCCGCGCTTAGGTCGAGGACCCCGAAAATCGTGCGCTTACGTTTTTAACACCCCAAAAAATATTAAAAAAATTACGTTAATAACATCTAAAAAAAATTCTACCAAACATCAGAAGTTAATTCTCGTTGTTTATTCCTCGTTACGAACTAAATAAGTAAGTGCAGGGGGGCCGCACTTCACGCAAAACAAAAATCTACAAGATAAACCTGCGGACAAGACAAAAAATAGGCATTGCACCGAATAAACAAATATCAAATCAAGTGAATGGATCCGGTTGATAATACACATGTAGGGGCCCGCATACTATGGAATAAGTTACACTGTATATGATTGGATGAATTCCGCAAAATGGCGCGTGTAGCAGTCATTTCGGCTAATGAGAAAGCATATTATAAACTGTAAGACAGTCGCTAATATTCAACCGGGAACCTGAATAATCAATTTTTTCATTGGCTAAAATTATAACACATGTCATTATTATTCAAGTATTACCCAATCATATCTTGTGTAATAAATAACGCACGCCTTACAAAATGGTGAGCTATGCCGGGCCATAGGTAAATTCGCGTACCGGCCGGCCTAATTTATTGATGTTCAAGGAAATAATAGTGGTCCCGTTCGTTTGTTTCTGGAGTTTAACGAACGAACGAACGGGACCACTATTATTTCCTTGAACATCAATAAATTAACGAAGGAACGGGACCACTATTATTTCCTTGAACATCAATAAATTAGGCTGACCGGTACGCAAATTTACTTATCTCGACTCGACTTTGGTGTGTATTCCCAGCACTTTCACGTTCGATGATATTGTCGAAACCATCTATAACTCAACAAGCAAATCAAATTTCGTCTAACTGAAATGTTTCCATTGTATTGTAACACAAGAATACGGAAAATTTATATCAAAATATGGTTATTTCATTTTTTAAAAAGTTAAACAAAGAAGCCACTTGTTACTAAATTTTAGTTTGTTATTAAATTTATTTAATTAAATAAATATTATCTTTGTTTTTATTCTAACCAATAATATAACTAGATTATTTATAATATTATTAAAAATGGTACACAACCCTCAGACTATATAGGTATTATGCCAGACCACTTTGTGTTTTGAAACCCACTTTGTGTTGTGTTTACCGCACTACCGCACATGATTGCCAGAGTGGTGGCAGGAGAAACAAGGAATCAATTCAACACGGCCTTATGATAATACTTCCATTTTTCAAAGTTACAATATTTATGGTTTTGAGAAAACTGGGTATTCCGACACTCTGGGTGATCCGACATATTGTAACGATCCCGTATGATGTCGGATTTGACAGAGTCCACTTTACTTGCTTTTATTTGACTACTGACCTTCATCAACTGACCAATAAGCCTAGATTGTCAAGACTATTTTATACAAAACATTATAGAGAGTTGCCCAAATCTGAATTCAGAATGACATGTGTACCACTTGTAAACGAATATTAATAATCTGATAAAAATTACAGCAAGTGAAAATATTAATGATAGTAATTTCTTTTTAATCATGCGTTTTTTAGATATACATGCTACTAAATCTGTCGCCGCCACTGCTCTGAACTGCATAGTTAATGAAATAGCAAATTGATAAATAAAGGTATAACTGAAAATCTAAATGAAGTTCTATTGTATTGGATGTGATAAATGAATGTTTATCCATATCCCCATTACAGGTCATTTGATAGTATGCAACTAATAGGCCTAATATGATCCAAAATTCTGTATTCCATAATATATCCGCTTTTAATGGAATATAAACTTATTACAAAGACCATAATCAAATAAATAGCAACAAATGATTTAGTTATAATTCCTATTCTACTATAAAATTAATGGTGTTACAAAACCTTTATTTACAAGGTGTTTAAGGCTAACTCACCGACAAAAATGTCCAATTTTTATACCTTATTCATACATTTATTTACTCCTATTCCAAAATTGCTAAACCTGGTGGGTTAGGGTAAATAATAAAACTGTTGAATTAATATTATTGGTATGTTGATTTGTTTTGTGAAATGGGTAATGGTATCTGTCTACATTAAAAACTTTAGGTCTATACATAGAATCATGATTTAGATATAATAACAATTTATGTTAAACCATTGGGGGTGCGAATGGGGGTGAGACCTCATGTTTGCGAAACAAAATACAAAAAACTGCTTGTGGTATGTGTATTATTAAGTTGATTTTTATTTCAATTTTAGATATGGAGCAAAAGTACGATTTCCACATGCATTGGTCATGACATTTCTTTTTAAAAGTGACAGGTAAGCATTCTATATTTTTCAATATGTGTTAGAATAGAAATCACTGTGTGGACACATTCCATTTTCTAGTGAATATCACTTCAGTTCATCTCCAAATTTGTCTTAGTCTAATTTTACTCAGTAAAAAGTAAATCATTCCTGTTTTTGCTAATGCCATTTTTTTTCATAATTAGCCTTTCACCTTGAACAATCGCTTTGCTTTTAAATGTGAATAACTCCTTTAACTTCTTATGCAGGAATATATGTATCTAGTTTCAAAATGACTTGACGTTATCCAATAATATTACTATATTTTAGTTTCAGAAATAAGCTCATAACAATTTTACAAGCAACTTACACACATTCCAAGAATCTAGGTTTATTTGTTCTGTCTTATAAAACTTTGACAACAATAATGCAGTATGTACAGACACAGAAATATCAACCCCAGTCTTTCATAGCTGCTTTTTGTGCTGGTTATCTTATATTCGGTCGATATAATAAAGTTAATGAACAAGTAAGTTCTCTCACTTTTAATTTACATCTGAGCAAGTTCATTTTCAAATTGACAATATTTTGTTTTATGTAGCTCATGGTTCTACAACACCAAATCTAATGGCTGGCATGTACATTTAATGTTAAGGTGGTGGAAGAAATAATAACAAATTGTCCATATATGGGCATTTGCACAATTCCCAATAGGCTGGGACTGTCGAGAAAGAAATGGGTTGCTGGACTGGATAAAATCCTGTCAAAAAAGGAATAAGTAGTTTTCAAGTTTGTAGGCATTGGATGACCTGGCCAGTTTTTAAGACTCAGTCTTCTACTGGAAAGAAATAATAACCGAGGGGATGCTGAATTGTATGCTGGAAAATTTAATACACAAAATTCTATTTTTAAGCACATTTTGACAAGTCTTTGTCAAGCAAATAACACATCGCATTGCGCTCTATGTACTCCCATGAAAGTATAACGGGAGCTGAAAAATTGTACTCTAACAACTTCATTTTACTTTGGTAAATCAGTTAGAACAGAATTAATAACATGTATTCTTAAGGTTCTATCTTGGTGTTGGCCAAGAAAGTTCCTCAGGATATATCACACTGCAGGCCCTTCTGCATGATCACAGTTGGCGTAGAAAAGTGGAACTTTAAACACCATTTCATTTCAACCCTATTATTTGATATTAATAAGGGAGGCAACTCTGTTGAGATTAAATGTGTTATAAACTGTAATGCTACATGATCAAAACGTTTATATCAAACTATTTATTTGCTCTAATCTAATGTATGTATTTAATTGACAACATACATGATCTTTTGTAGTTCTGTCTATCTATCAAAATCTAGATTTAATTCTTTTGTATAATGATCAAGTGTTGTATTAAAGCCACCATATTCCACAACATTTCGTACATTAGGACATGGTTTTATCATTATATATAAAAAAACATTGGTTACAAAATTATTTAAATTGATCAATCCTAAAATTAGATATGGTCATCTTAAGTTCTTATAACATTCTATTGATTTCTTCACTTCACTTTTTTCTATCTTAAACATCAGTCAGCTTGTGAAGTATAACTTGTTTTTATCCATGAGTATCAAGGTCAAGATAGTATAGATTACTATCTAAAGAATACAATTTAGACCTTACTTTTGACACCTTGCTGCTTTTAGTTAGGAAGCACAGTAGATAATACTAATATATGTATTTATTATTATATTAACTCTTTAGACGTTTTTTTTTTCTTAATGTACAATAAAAATTAGAAAACAAATGCATGTGAGTAAGTACAGTAAATATGCCATTGAAATCAACCAGTGAGAACATGTTGCCCATATCTTGACTCTTAAACCAACCTCTGCTGTAACATGAATTGGAGTAAAAATTACAACAGAACTATGTATAAAATGAGAAGACGACAAACAGTCTAAAGGAAAAACAGTGATTGGTGAAGCTAACGATATTAAATAAGACTTTCAGAGTCAGAAATTACTGAAACATGGTTGTTATGCAACTAATTATTTGAGTTTGTTGTTGATTTCTCTGTGGTGTTAGTTAAAATTTTCTACAGAAATTTGGCTACATATCACATGGAAAAATTAATAGCACTTGTAATTTCAGACTATAAAAGTAGGACACAACCTTTCAGATATCTTTTCTAAATATTCTTGAAACATATTAAAAGTAGAAGAAGAATGACAAGTTGCTATGTTAATAGGCTTTGCTGAGGTAATTACCGGTACATATTTTTTTGTCATAAAACATATCCGTCTTCATTAGCCCAGTCTGTGTAGAACATTAAACTCTATTTCATTTCATAAAATATATACAATTTTAAATATAAAACATACGTCTTGAATTCCTTTTGCTATATAATATTTCCATATTACAATGTTTGGCAATTCAGATTTGACTGGATCATTGCAACCCTGGTTGTTCTTGCCAAGTTTAGAAATAGATTTCAGTGATTTTTTTGTTGTTAAAATTATGTAATCTTGAAAGGAAGAGAGCAGGCACTGATTGATCTCCCTTTGTTCTTTCTCTTGTCTGATTAGCTAGCGTATATTTTGAAAAGTCTGAATATTTGTGTTTAAGAGCTGAGCAATATTTAGTTTTTCCATATAAAGCTGTCGGAGAAATAAAAACTGTCAAATATAACATCTTCAGAAAAATATCGAAAAACTAAACATTCTGAGATATATTGCGATTTTGATTTTTCTGGATGATATTTTCTGATTGAAATAACAGAAATATGAATAATGCCAACTATATTGAAAGTACCGTTGGGCACTGTATAGTAAAATTCATTTTCAAGAAGGCATATGCTTGAATGAGTAAAAACGGGTTTGCAAGGGTAAATGAATAGCCTCATACTCATATCATATCCTTAGCTATAAAAACATACACGGTCGATAGAACGACACAAACTGTTTTTTTTTTACCTTTTTTTTTCCTTTTTATGCCTCCATCATATTTAAATAATCTTAATCAAATCAAATATCATAACTGATGTATTGGAAGATAAAATTGTAATAAACAACAACAGCATTGACGAACATTTTTAGCAAGTCTTTGTGATATAGATCTATGTTTGAACCTGCTCATTAAATTTTGTTTGTAAATATGGTACCGGTACTGTATTTATGCCTAATTTTTTAAGAATATTGACTACAAAGTTTCAAGTAAATCCTCAGGGGGTAGGTCCAACTTCTTATGCATGTTTATTTATATGAAAAAGGTGATAAACTGAAATCATTCACATTTTATAAAATATCGCCCAGCTATATTTGTGTTTGAAGTTTTGTATTTTATGTTGCTAAGATTACTCAGTGATGAGCCCTTTAAGAACTTTTCATATTTTCTCCTGCACAGCAAGGCTCCTTCTCTATTCCGTCAAATATTTTCACTGTCAGATGTCCTGAAATTATAAATTTAATCATAGAGCATGTGTTCAATTATTAATCAAAATAACAAACCAGAGAAACTTAACACTTTATTTAGAACAAAATCAAAGAGGGCCCCTCCCTTAAATTTTAAAGGTTTGCCTCAACAGCTGTACTAAGCAATTTAATCTTTCTTATATTTATTCAAAACCACTAAAGAATTAAATAGAATTTCTTGCTTTGATTGCATTTGTTGTCAGTGGTGTAGCTGGGATATTTCCAAGTAGGGTGTTATGTCCACAAATTTTAATCTATCACTTCCGGAATTTAAAGGTGCTACTCCATTATTTTGGGGCCTAAGAGGGTGTTCAGACTCCCCGGCACCCCCTGTTTGTTTATCTTGATATATCTATACATGAGAGGAAATTTGTTGCTGCTTTCCACTCCTACCTACATGTACATATTAGTAATTTCCTTGCTTTCATGTCTACCTTCATATTATTCTTTAATATGTGTTTGCAGGATATAGTAATTACATTTATACTTTGAGGTGGTAAAACAGGAATGCTGATTTGTAATTTATTATTTAATTTGTGAAATGTTAATGCACCTGTTGACATACACTGTTTATCTTGCCGTTTGAAGTACGCCCACTATAGAAGTATAATAATCTAACACATGTATTCAATTATAACCACACTTTTAATTTAAAATAGATAACGATTTCTCTTAAATGATCTAAACTAACTTTGAGTGCCCATATTATTTTATTTTGTTTCCATTGCATTAATAATATCCTTTTAATATACTGGTACATATGTAAAGCACCCAAGTAGGTCACTAAATGTATTTCTATATAGCCATGTTGAAATATGGCCATATATCTATCAGTCCATTCACTGTCCACAATTTCTTGAAGACACTATTACCAACATTTTTCATTTTATCTGTTTAAACTATGCATTGTTCACATTAGTGACATTAAAAGGCCTATGGTTTCCAGCAATTTCTTATAAGAACTTTCAGAGCTGTTACCTGTGATCACTATGTAGAATCTTGTGAACATTCTACTAGAGACATTTCAATTTTCATATAAGCTAATCCCAATAATGACTGATAGACTTATTGCTCTTGATAATGTTATAGAATTTTATTAGTAGAAATGTTTTTTTGGGGTGACATTTTTGAACAGCCCGAAATTAAATAATAAACTGGCAATAAATAACTTTTGCTGTTGAGATTTCGGTGTGTGCTTATATCCTCTTTTGCATAGTTATGTGGACTCTTGCTAGTATGCTCATCTCTCACTGTCATTCATCAGGGCTCCTGCATGGACATTTGTATTGTATAATGTGTACTCGTCAAGATTTTCCGGTGTGGTTTCCCCTTGTCAGTGGTGCAGGATGGAGGCCCTGACAAGGACATGGTCTATCCGGTCGGATTAGATGATAAAAGAACCCTTGACAGTTAGAATTTGAAATAAGAGTAGGCCATAGCGTCACTGTTCAGGCAAAATTTCCCTCAGCTTAATAGCACATATGTCTGTCTAGAAAAGTAGGACATTAATCCCAACTTCATGTCATTTTGTCCTCTTCTTGAAGAATATCATAAGGTATAATGTTTTGGTTACAAAATATATTTTCCCTGTTGCTTGAATATATATTTTCTAAACAAAATTTTTATGAACTTGATTTTCAAAGAAATATATCTTGAAGTAACAAAAATAAGAAAGATTTTACATTTATTTATTATACTACCAATCAGGTATTTTAGATAAGGCATTGAGTTCATGTATTCAGAGTAAAACATTTTTTTCTAATGACAAAAGTTATCAACCGATCTGTATGAAATTTATATGCATCATTTAAATTAGTAAAACAAAGAAGCCTATTGAATTTCAGCAATTTCCTTTAATTACCTCTAGAGTTATGGCCCTTGTTTCACTTTGTTGAATCTTGTGAACTCTCTAATGACAACAGTTATCATCCGATTTGTTTGAAATTGATATGCATCATTTAAATTAGTGAAACAAACAAGTCTATTGAATTTCAGCAATTTCCGTTAATTATGCCGTGAGTTATGGCCCTTGTTTCACTTTGTTGTACCTTGTAAATGCTCTAACATCGAAAGTTATTATCCAATCTGTATGAAATTTATACGTATCATTTAAATTAGTAAAACGAACAAGCCTATTGAGTTTCAGCAAATTTCCGTTAATTACATCTAGAGTTATGGCCCTTGATTTACTTTGTTGAACTTTGTGAATGTTCGAACGACAAAAGTTATCATTCGATCTGTATGAAATTTATATTGATTATTTGAATTAGTAAAACGAAAAAGCCTGTCGAATTTGAACAATTTCTGTAGATTACTTCCATAGTTACGGCCCTTGTTTTAGTTTTTAGAACCTTGTGAACCCTCAAACGACGAAAATTATAATGTAATCTGTGTGAAATTGTCTATTAAATTCCCCTAATTACCTACAACAGAATAAATATGTGACAACCCTTGTCAACTGCTCGAACGATTTAGCTGCTGTGGGCGTATGTTTTGTTGCCTGGCAACCTATCTTTGATTGTGCCAGTGACATCACAAATGCAATCTTAAATTTTGTGTGCTGTAGTGTTTGAACAGAGGTATGTCTTTAAATGTTGATTCCAGTCGATGTCATGGTTATATATCATTTGGTGGAGCACCTTCTTTAATTTTCTTTCGTGAGCAATGTAATAGCAAAGAAAGTGGTGTGAACCATGGCATGCTATGAGGTCTTATTACATACAATGCCTTAATGCAGTATGCTTGAGAATTAATATTTAAAAGTCAATACCAAAACTTGAAATTTTAGTTATCCACTCGGAACTAATAAGATTAAACATCCACTATGCAAGAGGCTAAATCTGCCTATTGCAGGTCTTTCTTTAGGCCTGAAATGTAATATAAACTATTAATTAAAAATTTATTAACAAAACAAAACTATAATCGCCTCTCGATGGCATCGGATACTCAAGATTTTAACTAGATTAAAATGGTTCGCCATTTAAAAATTTAATTTAAAAATGGGAAAGCGAGGCTAAGTCCCGATTATACCAGTGCCCTGGTTACCACTTTGCACGCATCTTGTCAAAACTACAAACAATGATAACTTGGCTGAGAATGAAGTAATTTGAATGAAATTTTCAATATTTTTTTTTTTCATCGTCTATTTTTGAATTATTATAGTAAGAATGACCAACTCTTTATCAAACTCTTAACTAATGTATCTTTAACAAATGGGAGTGGAATAACTTTACATGTGCCTTCATATGTTGATCATCAGCATTATTGATCAATTAATGTTTATTTCAAAATAGATGTAAATGTTTTGTAGTATAAAACTTTCTAAGTCTAATAGTGCAGACTTTACTTTGGTAAACCCATACCAATTCTTTCCAGTGATCTAATGATATTTTCAGAAAACTCATTTTTTAATACTTTTAGGATTTCATCCTGGCAAATTGTCTTACAGCCACTGTCTGGGAATGAATATTTTTTTCTCTGTGTGTGTGTGTAAATCACATTGAAACATATAGGATTCCTGACTCTTGGTCTATTTTAAGATTCTTTCTCATTTAGTTTGTCTTGATAAATGCATTGGAGTTTATCTCTAGACAGATATTAGAAAGAAGGGATTCATTTACACTTCATACAAAACCTATCCTACAGACTCGTTTTTCACTTGTTTTCCAATTTGCCTCTTGGTATGCAGTAACTTCAAGCTATTTGTCTGAACTTATTAACAGGATCTATCCATATTACATGTAAATGACTAGGCCAGACAGAATTCTACTAACTTTTCTACCTAATTTTCTAGCCATTATGTTACTTGTCAGTCATTATTTGCAAATAAAACCCAATTAAAACGACAAATTTACAAGCGGTTAACGCTATAATATTTTTCTTTTCTGTTCTTCAATTCAAATTGATTTTTGGTTTAAGTTTTAAGAATGATTTTGAATAAATAATAAATTTGCTTTGAAAGAACAATGCTTGATTCAAATCTTATTGAGACACAATAAAAACACAGCACTGATTTGACTAGAAGTGTTGGCAAAATGTAATGTTGTTGAAATATGATTTTTGGCATGAATGTATGCTGGACATTTACCAAAAGGTAGGCACAAGGCGTAAAAATCCAAAGTAAGAACGTATGTCCACTTCCAGCAGCTACACCCACCATGCAAAATTAGCGCATGGAGCAGATAAGCCACTAAATGGGATGGCTGCTTGTCCCTTAGATGCCCAATAGGTGATTGATCAGTAGAGAGGGCTGGCCTTTCATGCACTGCCTCATTGTTTGGGTACTGAAGTTCATGGAGACGTGTGCTGTATGCATGTGAGTATTATCATGCTCAAACATTGGATCTTATGACACGTTGAGTAAGAATTGATCCAACATAAGGATGTCTGCCATGCAGATGTTGCTGGATAAAGTGCCAGTCTTGTCCAAGCATTGCCAAACCAGGCTTTAGCCAATCTATGGTGGACCCTGTCTACTGTAAACGATCTGCTAGTCTCAGGATTGTAATGTGATGCCAACCCTTTGGAGATAGCTCTGACACTTATGCCATCTTGAATTATGTAATGTTGCATTGTATATGTAGGTGTTCAGCACTCATTGTCTTGCAAGTGAAATACATAATGGCAGCTACATTCAAATTTGTAGTGTTCCAAAATTTATATGGAAGTACAGTATCTGGAAGATATTTATTGAAGTATTTACTTAGGAAATATATCTTTTAATTAAACTAAAATATTTTAAATATAAAGCCTTTTAATTATAGAATAGGGTATAAAATTTCTTGCTGATTATTGTAGTCATATAAGCTTAAAATTGGAACAGACTAGATTAGTTAGTCCAAGGTCATTAATGGGTTTTTTTATATTTTTTTTTTTTAGATAAACTTGTATCTTCTATCAAGAATAATATATGGTTTAGCACAATTAGCTGTGAAGAAAGGATACATACCTAAACCCAAGAAAGATGCCTTTCCCATGTTTGCAGCACTTGTGTGGGGAATAGTTCTCTGGCTTTTTGAACATGAAAAGGACACATTACAGCCTTCCTTAAGATCTTCTATGACATATTTATATACTGATAGTAACAAGTGGCATGATCTTAAGGACTTTATTATCCATAACAAGCCTTGATGAAAATTTTATATATTTAGTTTGATAATATATATTTTTAAACCATGTAAATAGTGATTTTTTCTCCTATAAAAATATGTCTTTTTATGAAATTATTTTGCCATAGAATGTAACTACCGCACTCATAATGTTTATGACTCATTATATCTATTTTATTTGAATAGACGTTTTAGATTATTTTTTGTACAGCTACATGTTATATTTTAAATAACCATTTCTCAGGTGGTTCAAACTTGTTTCGAGAAAGGGGGGGGGGGTAAATGATCTAATGCATGCCTTCAGATCCTAACTCAACATATCCTAACTCAAGTGACTTAAGTGGACGGTTTCAACTCCATACTTGTACATGATAAGGAGTTGGGTAGCTTGCCTGACTTTTACCTGCGCAAGCAAATTATTGAAATGAAATTGTACCAAATCTTAGTCCCAAAATGACCTAGTTTGGGTTGAGTAGACACTAAGTTCCATTTCTCTCTCTCTGAGAAAATCCCTTTAGCCAGTCCGAATTTACTGTCATGCAACTTACTATTAATACCAGAATTATTGCCCTCATCATCTAAATTACATTTAAAATGCAATAAGTTGCCTGTTTTTATTTTTAAACCCTAGGTCAACTGCAAATTGGTGATATAATGCCTGGCATTTGTTGCAAATAATAAGGGTAGCAGTGACAATGTATTCTGAAAATGTATGCATATGTGAATAAAATCAAAAGTTTTGAAAATAAATATCTTAATTTCTAAATGCCCGATAATTATTTTATAGTAAACTATAAATCTTAAAAAAATTATGAAAAAATATTTACATCTATATATTTTTTAACAAACCTTTGGCGTTGCTTGAGAGATGGTTTTTTTTTTTTAAAAATTGATGGCTATAAATGAACACTGTCGAAATTTTCCTAAGTCTCATTCTTTCTGCTAAATAAAAACCATCAACAAAATGTAATTAATATTATATATCATATTCAAAATAATCCCAGTATACCCGGCTAATTATCGAATTTGCAAAAACTGTCCTGGTGAGTCCAAATCACTTTTACGTGCGCCCGCTTGCTGTTTTAGGCTATGATAAAACGTACACCTCGCATGGAGTCGTAAAGCATTTATATTTCAGCAATGGATTTACAGATCTGTGTCAAAATGTGCACGCAGTCATATACACAAATTCTGAATGGACCGTCGAAGATCTCCAAAGTTATAGATCTTCCTATGTACACATACACAATGTCATGGCAGCGGAATACTATCTACCGATAATATCGTCGCCCAACAAATCAACTTGCTCGTGCACTTCAAACAGAAATACAATAATCTGATTTAATAGATTTTGTGTCGTCTATTATCTATAAGAGGTGATTTATGCCATTGTCGACAATATGTCCTCATCATTCGAAATAAATACACAGTTTTTGCAAGTCCAAAACTGTCGTATTATAGTTAATTAAAAAGATACACAAGTTGTCACGGGCCAAGTTCCCTCTCTAACGCATGGAACCGCGGTGACTCAGTGAGTAAGACGCTGGCTTGCTAGCCAGGAGATCTCGAGTTCGCTCCCAGTGTTGGCCTGGCAAGGACAGTGTCGGATGGGACGAAAATCCGAGGTGCACGTGCACGCGTATGCCCGTCTTCATTAGCACAGTCGGTGCAGAAACGTAGGCCGTTGAACCCGATTTCATTTCCTTATTGATGGCTTTTATGACATTAAACAGAAATGAAATGGGGTTTAACGTCCTACTGTTTTGCTTGGGTCCGTGTCAAAACCCCCTCCGGTCAAAACCCCCTTGGACTTAAATTAAAGTAGCTAAGTCTCTAACTCAATATCATCCAAAATCTTCAACATTGAAAACACGATTTATTTGTCAAATTAAATCAACATTGATGTTGTGATCTTACCGGAAAAAGATGGGCTTTTGATATCCAATATGTAAGACAAAATAAACATTTTACCATTGGTACACGAATCGTGTACCATAATGGGCTTCAGCCCCAGTTGTAACAAGAGTCTCGAGGGACGAGGCTAGACACATTGCACCAAATCAAACGGCGTATGTAGACTGGAATAACCAGACGCTAGAAATCTGCACTCGATTGAGACTGCTGATTTGAAATTGGAGTAAAAACGGAAACCATTGAATGTAAATCAGTTTATATACATTCATATTACAGTATTATATGCGTTGCAACCCACTTTTGTCAATTTCTAGGTCCCAAATGTTAGCGATTTAGCTCCTTTAAAAACGGACAAAAAAAACCCCTTTTTATTTATTTTTTTTATTATTATTATTATTAAAAAATATTTGAAAAATAAAATATTATTATTTTAAAAAAAAAATACGATGACCAACTAAGACAATGGACCACACAATTAACATAACATAATCTGCTTTTTACTAGGAATAACATAGCATCAGTTATTGTAATCATTCAAGTGAAATGCAATTATCTGATCAATCTCAACTGAAGTCATGGCACTACAATTTAAAATCTCCTATACCACCCCTATTCCCAGCAGAACTCTGGAACGTTCATCTGACAACACTTGGTGGCGGTTCTCGCACTAACAATCTATGCGAGTCTTGGAACAGGGTGTTCAGTTCCCTGCTGGGAATATCAGACCCCACAATCTGGCAGGCTCTCGAACATCTCCGTCTGGATCACAGCAATGTCAAGACTGCACTCCTGCAATACTCATGCGGACAACCACCCAAAAACAACAAATGATCTACAAGAAAAACTTGACAACTTGTGTGCAAACCATACATAAAGGTATTGGGCACACCATACGATGGAAATAATTTCACCCATATAATTGCAAATAAAATATAAAAATAATCAATTTTGTTGTGTACTTCACAAACCACAAAAACATAATTTTGAAATGATTTTAATATTATCTTATATATATTTGAGACTGTCGTTTGTCTGTCTGTCTGTCTGTTCGGGGTTGGCGGCTACACTAGGTCTGCCCCGAGTCTGAAATTTGGGGTATATGGGTAACTCGGATCGTGGAGTAACATAGGCCAGGTGGCGTTAGTCTACCACTTCCGGTTTCGGAGTTGACCCCCGAGCGGGTATCCTGCTAGTCAATCTATATATACTATTCAAAAAAAGTAGGGGATATTTGATTTTTAAGTGTTATTAAAGTCACCTAATGAAACTGACGAAGAAACAAATGACAAAATGAAATGAAGTTCACATTCATCGATTTATTCCAAATGATCGTTAGACTAAGTAAGGCACAGACTGACCATTATAAGGGTAAAATGATACCCGGGGTCAAACAGCAAAGTTACCACAGCATCACAACCAAGTCAGTAAAGGGTAAATCCTCCTCTGTTTGCCAAACAAGCATTGATCCGACGTGGCATACTCCTAATGAGACGTCTAAGGTCATTTTGGTCCAGATTGTCCCATTCCTGTTGCAACGCAGCAGCAAGTTCTTGGACATTGGCAGGACGTTGTTGACGTTGACGTAACCTCTGTCCAAGCATGTCCCAGACATGCTCGATGGGGGAGAGGTCGGGACTCAGTGCTGGCCATGGTAATGTGGTGATGTTCTGTTGTTGGAGGTAACCTGTAACGATCCTGGCCCTGTGACATCTTGCGTTGTCATCCTGGAAGATGAAACGGCGGCCATGACGTCGTGCGAACGGCACAACATGGACTGCCAAGATGTTGTCCCGGTAGTACTGGCCTGTAACACGCCCTGCAACAACATGTAAAGCCGTTCTTCCAGCAACAGTGATGCCTCCCCACACCATAACAGAACCACCCCCAAATCGATCATGTCTGATGACGTTAACGTCTTGGAAGCGCTCGTTTCGACGACGCCACACCCTCCTACGTCTGTCCAAAAAATCAACAGTGAACCTTGACTCATCTGAAAACATCACATTGCTCCAGCGTCGATTATCCCAGTGTTGACGATCCCTACACCAACGACGTATTGCCTGAATGTGATGATCTCTCAAACAAGGGATCACGCGAGGACGTCGGGCGCGAAGGTGACCCCTATGCAGTCGATTCCGAATCGTCTGGCCACTCACTCTCACACCAGTGTCTGTTTGAAGACGAGCGCTGATCTGATTTGCTGTGATGACACGATTTCTCAAGGCCAAGGTACGGATAAATCGATCCTGGGCTTGAGTTGTCGCCCTTGGTCGACCTGAGCGTGGTCTGTCCTGTACAGATTGTGTATCACGGTATCTGGACCATAGCCTGCTTATGACAGACTGAGAAACATTCATCGTCCGCGCCACAACCGCCTGTGTTGTGCCGATCTGTAGCATGCCAAGGGCACGTAACCTTTCATTTTGGGTAAGCCGACGCATATCAAAATTTGTTTTCTGGTCACTAAAACAATTAAACTGATGTTTCCACCCTGGAATTCAATGCCACAATGACTGTAACATTCAAAGTCAGAGTCGTGCAAATCTTGGGTTGGACCCCCATGATGATCCCAAGCATCACCTGCATTCCATGCGGTAGCTATTGGTGCGTTTGGGCGTCACATGTAACTGGAAATGTTTCTTCTGTTAGGTTCTATAGTGACTTTTTTCGTAGTCATTTGCATATTTTAGTATTATGCCCCCAAAATCAAATATCCCCTACTTTTTTTGAATAGTATATATATTTGTGACTGTCGTTTGTCTGTCTGTCTGTTCGGGGTTGGCGGCTACACTAGGTCTGCCCCGAGTCTGAAATTTGGGGTATAGGGGTAGCTCGGACCGGGGAGTAACATAGGCCAGGTGGCGTTAGTCTACCACTTCCGGTTTCGGAGTTATGACCCCCGAGCGAAGTCTGTCTGTTCGGGGTTGGCGGCTACATCAAACCCCGTGTCTGAAATTTGGGGTATACGGGTAGCTCGGACTGGGGAGTAACATAGGCCAGGTGGCGTTAGTCTACCACTTTCGGTTTCGGAGTTATGACCCCCGAGCGAAGCCGGTCTGTTCGGGGTTGGCGGCTACAATAGGTCTGCCCCGAGTCTGAAATTTGGGGTATAGGGGTAGCTCGGACCGGGGAGTAACATAGACCAGGTGGCGTTTGTCTACCACTTCCGGTGGGAGTTATGACCCCCGGGCGAAGTCTGTCTGTTAGGGGTTGGCGGCTACACTAGGTCTGCCCGAGTCTGAAATTTGGGGTATAGGGGTAGCTCGGACCGGGGAGTAACATAGGCCAGGTGGCGTTAGTCTACCACTTCCGGTTTCGGAGTTATGACCCCTGAGCGAAGCCGGTCTGTTCGGGGTTTGCGGCTACACTAGGTCTGCCCCGAGTCTGAAATTTGGGGTATAGGGGTAGCTCGGACCGGGGAGTAACATAGGCCAGGTAGCTCGGACTGGGGAGTAACATAGGTCAGGTGGCGTTAGTCTACCACTTCCGGTTTCGGAGTTATGACCCCCGAGCGAAGCCGGGTATCCTGCTAGTATAATATAATAATGGGGGGTTTTGACCAGAGGGGGTTCTGACCGTATCCCGTTTTGCTCCTACTGGGCTAATGAAGACGAGCATACGCCATACAGTGTACTATGAGGGAAATTTTGCCCGAACAGCGGCACTACGGCCTACTCTTATATGGAAATATGGAATTCCAACTGTCAAGTGATCTTTTACGTGCACACGGGACAGCGGTTTTTCACACCATCCGAACGACTAGACAGCTGTCCTTGTCAGGCCCTCCGTCCGGGGAACCACGCCTGAAAATCTGGATGAACTTTCTCGGCCAATGCAGGGATCGAACACCAAACCT